TGTTCAAGGTCTTCTTTCAGAATGGAGTTGTAGCTGGAGGTGTATGTGGGGGCACACAAACCTGATTTAACTCCAGGTGTGTTCTGCTAGGCTGAGGACCTTGCAGTCCCCATAACCTTCCCCAAAGTTAGCTCTTCAGTCAGTTTGAGAGAAGACTGCAAAAAATATTATCTTGTCTTGCAACACTGAGTCGTGTCCAATCTGTTCCTGCTTCTCTGAACCAAACTGCTGACTGAATACATCTGCAGCCTTAATCAGCCCCTTGGACTTGGGCTCTGCTGTTCAAGTTGTGAATGGCCTGCAAGAGCAGGTCTTCAATGGGCTTTGGGTGCTGGACTGGCACATATTAGCAGGGAGTTCTGCTCCTGGCTTTTATGTGTTCTCTTGAGTGATGCCAAAAATCACAAAGACTGCTGGAAAGAAGGTTGTTTCTCTCACCTCTTTTCTTATGCATCCTAACTTTTATTTGAGCAACCTCAGTTGACTTGGCAGCCTTTTAATCTTCTAACCCCTGAATCATCTTACCTCTGTCTAGAATTGCCATGCAAAATATTGGGCACCTCCACTGTGATACTTGGAGTAGATGTTTTGGTTGATGTTTCTTTTCTTACAGGAAGTAGATGCTTGATTTCCATAGGGTTTGGATCTGTGATGATCTGCTTTCAGTTGCAAGCGTTAATACCAATGAACAGCAGCATGCTGCGTCACTTTGTGCTTATTGGTGGGGGTAAAGCATATGAGTCAGAGCACAAACTTACAGATTTTTTCATAGTTGTGCCTGAAGAGCTTTTATTGCATTTGCGTGGCTGAAGGGTGCTTTCTGGCTCTTCTGTGGCTATCCCTGTGGGAATTGCAGCAAGTCTCTGGCCATTCAACGCAGCAGCCGGAGAAGTTGGGTAGGTAGTTGCCATCTGCCGTCCCCCTTCAGTAAGAAGTGGCTTGGGGAGAGCCCTAGTAGAGGGATGGGGAGCATGTCTCAGCAGCTGAGCAGTTGCCTGCCATGTGGAGATGGTTTTCTTGCTGTTCCTGGAGTAGCTGAAGAGGCAGGGAAGGTGGCAGTAAGGGAATAAAGGAGTGGAAGATGAATTTCACTGAGTGGCCTGGCAATGCACATGCACAGTCTTAGTCTCCCTTTTTTCATGTTGGTGCTGCTAATTCAGCTTGTCCGTGAGCACTGTGGGGAGCACGTCCCAGTGGCCACCTCCAACCTTGTTTGCTTTGACTCTTTGAGCTGGTTAACAGTGAGAAACATGAAAACAGCCTGATGGTCCAAGCATGTACAATTTTATCAAAACATCTACACTGGAGAGCTTCTTCCATGCTCTTCTCACAGTCTGCTCTCCTTACTCACTCTTACTGTGGTTTTCTTGCTGGGTCATGCTTGTCCACAAAACCTTGCCAGCTTACAGCAAAGATGGCTTTGGTGAATCCCATGATCCTTATGTAAAATATTAAACCCTGAATATTGGAAGTGGTAATTTTGAAAATGATAGCTCGGAAGCTGTGTGCTCACAATGTGCTTATGGCCAGGCAGAGCACGCATGGAGAAAAAAATTGCGAATACCCATATCATTAAAGGTCTCTGTGAATGAAGAGGGGCTCTGGAGAGCACATGAGCTGATCACTTGTGGGCCTTCAGATGTGCTCCAGAGGCACTGGTGTCTCTGCCCACCAGGCTGCTGCAGGCAGAAGGCAGTGCTGTCTCAGGTGGTCCTGTGCCCTTGGGTACTTGAGAAGGGAGAAGATCCTGTGGTCCACATGGTCCTTGGGTGCTTGAGAGATGAGACAGAGATGACCATGTCTGCTAATGACCCCATCTTGTGGGGCACCCCTTGGAGGAGTTGTGGTTGTTGATGTTTGTCTGGGGGAAGAGCCAGCTTTTGATGACCTTGCAGTCCTTTGCAGTCGGAAGGCTGCCAGTGCTGGTTTCTTCTTCAGACCGATGCAGCAGCAGGCCAGAGTAAACAAGACAGAATTAGAGGTTCTGAGGCTACGTTCTATATTCTGAGGCTGAGGTGATGCTGTCTCCAGAAAAGCAGTGTCAAAATGATCCTCAGTGTCACCAGTCTTATTACTGCCATCACAATGTAGTTAAATTCTTCATTAAAATAGCTTCCCTGTTGCATACTCTGCTATCTATATTTCAGTTATCCTTGAAGCAGACCACTGGAGAACACCCTTTTAAAACTGCAGCAGTTATGGAACTAATTTTATTTTTTTTCTTATTTATTAGATGATAATAATCTAATAATGGCCTTCATAGCTTTCTAGAAAGAATATTTTGACTTCTGATGTGTTCAGGTAGAAGGTGTGCAAGGGGGTGAACTAGGCACTGAGAAGATAACGAGATGTAGATTTTTGTAACACATCTACTAAGAGAAACGTGGCACTAACGTAATTTAGTTAGTGTAAGTATATTACCTGCAAATAGTATTTTTTAAAAGTAGGATGTTAATTGTTCTGATGATTCTCTGCTAAAAAAAAAATGTCAATGCACTATTGATTTGTAGGCTACCACAAAGCCTACCTGATATGCAATGCCAATTTAATAAGTTAATATTTTTCCCTCTATAATTTTGAGTGTGCCCAGGCCATATTTGTGCTGACAACAGACTTTATTGACCCTTTCACCTAAGAAATAAACACAGTGACCTCAGACTTGCATGGGTGTGTGTGCATGTGCGTGTGCTTGATCTACTGTGCTGACGGAAGATTCGTAAAGGGATATTTCATGTAACGTGAACCAAGAGCTAAAATTACCAACACACGGCTGCGAGGTGTAAGCTTAGTATGTAGCTGGCTAAAGAGGTGCTGAACAAGGAGGTAAAGTTAATCTTCATAAGGAGAGTGGTGCAACTCGGGTTGCAGCAGACTTGGGTTTTTTTTTCACTGTACGAATTTTTTCACTAGCTCTTTGTTTGTTTTGTTTTGGTTGTGTTTTTTTTTTTTTTAATTTAAGAAAGGACTGAAGAAGTGACATTAGTGTACATATATATGGCTGTGTTAAAAGCCAGCCATCACTGACTGCCAATATAAATCTGCTCTGATGGCTTGGGGGAGAAGTAAATTGTAGGGAGAGCAAAGCTATTTTTGACCAGCTATTTGAGCAGCTCACTTAGATTTATTTATTTATTTATTATGACTGAGCTGGTAGTAATACCCATCCCTGCATTTAATAGAAATAAGAAATAGAAAACAAAATTTGGGGATGGTTTCCAGCACTACTGCTGGTAAGCATAGGTGTAAGTGCTACTGTCAAAACATCTTTGCAATTGCTGGTGCATGAGCATGTGAACAGATAAAGAGAGGAGAAAAAATTGCTGGTGGGAAACCCGATGTGTTCTCTGGGAGAGGCACAAATTCTGCACCCCATGGCTGCCTGGCACCAGGAAGGGGCTGGCAGGACTCTTGCCTCTGTTGGGGACCATCAAATGGATGTGTCCTGTTGCCTTTCTAGGTCACCATGTCATTCCTCCATCACGCCTGTCACTCCCCTTCTCCAGAGTCAGGAGGCTGGGCAAATATATCTGCAGGCAGGCCGGACAGGGTACTCCCACGGACACAGCTGAGGCTGTCAGGTTGGAACTGGTTGGCTCTGATTTTGTAGGAGGGACAGCCAAGAGCTCTACACAGTTCTGGACAACTCCTTGCCTCTGCTTTGTAGGAGAAGATGGAAGTGCTTGGAGCCACATATTTACTGAAAGCTGTTGTAAGAAAGCATCCAGTAACTGCACAGAGCTGTCTGGTGAGGCGTAATATGGAAACTCCTTGTCTTGCCATGGAGCTCTTGCAGTGGGGGCTGGAGCATGTCACCAGAATGATAGCACGTACTGGGACAAGGAACGGGGTTGGGGTTTGGGGTTTTGTATGTTTGATTTTTGGTGGTTTGTTTACAGTTAATGTGAACCTCAGATTTGCTGGTGAATGGCATCCACAGTTGGCGTGTCTTATGTCTGTAGTGTGTGCGTGTACATGTACACAGCCCACATCTGTGGAGTGGTTTTGTTGGTCTGTACTTCTGGTGTAGCTGTGTTGGCCAGAGCTGTGGGTGCAGTGAAGTTCTAACATGGTCATATCAGCGGGGAAAAAGCAGCTCTTCCCATAACATAGTTTGCTAGAGGATCCCACTTAAAATCCTACAAGCAAGGTGGTTTTTGTTAGTGTAATGCCTCTAAAGCATGTTAGCCCATGCATTCTGGGTGGCAGTTTTTTATAGATAATAATTTTATGGTTAGGTTTTTAGTGTTTTTTTTTTTTTTTAATCGAAGTGGTCAGCCATTGTTCCTGCACCAGGTCTGAGCTGCCACCCCAGCAGATGATCCCTTCCTATTAAGAGCTGGTCCCACCACCCTCTGCTCTGCAGGAGAGCTCAGATTAGGGCAGTAAGCTCTTGGAGGAGGGGAAAAAGATCTTTTGGACCCAGGCAGCTCTGTGGGACCCAGCTGATGAACTGATAGGCTGGCCAGATCTCTCCCTAGTACAAAAGTGTGACAGCAGTTGGGAATGACTGTGACTTGTAGGAAGTTGTAAAGGCTTCATTTGCACGGAAACCACAAATGCACTTTATGCCGATGTAAGTTTTGCAAATTTTTTCACTCTTTGGGCATTGCACCAAAGGCAAACACTTCTAAGCAGGGTCAATTCACAATATAATGAGTATAACTGAAGACTTAATGTGAGATCTGAATGGATTAGATCCTACCTGTTAAGGTCTTTTCCAGATTCAGATGTTGACATGAAAATAGCTATTATTTTTGTGTCTTAATTGGTGTTTCTAGATAGATACAGCAGTTTCCAAGTGCTTACCATAAGCTCTGATTACAAACTGAGGGGAGTTAGCTCATGAGATTACTGGGAGGCTCCTGCTGGACCCTGGCTCTCATCAGTGACTACGGTGTTCCTGCACAGCATAGGGATGGTGCAGCCCTGTATTTGGGTTTGGTGGGCTGAACGTGATTTTGTTGGTTTGGAATGATTTCTGACCATCTTCTCTCTTGCAGACCAATAAAGCTAAATGGGTCCAGTGACTGGAATGACTCCGGATAAGAAAGCTGAAACGCCAGGAGCAGAAAAAGCTGCAGGACTACGGCAGTGTCATGGGATGGGCAGCTTGCCTGACGCAGGCGATGCCGGCAAGCCAAAGGCCACCGTGGTGGACAGAGATGCAGCAGACGATGAGCTCACAAATTTGAACTGGCTGCACGAAAGTACAAACCTTCTAACAAACTTCAGCCTCGGAAGTGAGGGCCTTCCGATCGTTAGCCCCTTGTATGACATCGAGGGGGACAGCGTGCCATCCTTCTCACCATCCTGTTACCAGAACCCTGAAAAAAAATCCTCCACTTCCAAACCTCCTTACTCTTTCAGCCTTCTCATTTACATGGCAATCGAGCAGTCCCCCAACAAGAGCCTGCCAGTCAAAGAAATCTACAGCTGGATCCTGGACCGCTTCCCCTACTTCGCCACGGCCCCCACCGGCTGGAAGAACTCGGTCCGACACAACCTCTCCTTGAACAAGTGTTTCCGAAAGGTGGAGAAAAGCCATGGCAAGGTGAGACATGGCAGGAGGGAGGTGGAGCAAGTTTGAAATTCAGAGGGAAATGGAGAAGATTCTGTTGTTCTCAAGGATGTTTTGTTTGGGGTTTTTCCCCCTACATGTCCTCTAACACTTTATTTGCAGCTGGAGATGGTTTGGAACTGCTGCTTCTGAGACATCACAGGATGACAAAAGTCACTTGGTTTTGTTATTTATTGCTGACCTGGGTAGATCTTGCTGTCATGCATCATTTTTAAATCTGTCAAAGACACAATTGTAAAGGACCTCGTTTCCATATACAATTTTGTTAGCCTGCAATAGCCAGACTGAAATTTTAGATGTCTCTCTTAGACTGTGTTCTTGATGAAGCTTCTTAAACCAGTGCTCTCTGTTCTCCAGTGCTGAAACTCTGGAATATGTTCCTCCTTCCCCTCTTTTCCACCACAGCCATGGCTATGATTGCCCTGGCAAGCAGAACAGATTGTGGGATGCCAACCAGCTTCCCCGCTTAGCTAGATGTGCTGCTCTGCAAGGTCCTCTTGCTTGGGGGCACACTGTATGTATGTGGCTGAGTGTTTCTCAGTCCAGACAGCTTTCTTAAATATTAAACTGACTCCTTCACTTGTTATCTCCTGTTACACTTAGCACAGCTCTAGCTTTCCAACAGCCATCTTAATTCCTGCATTTAATGTACTGCAGTGCTTTAACCTCTGTCATAGCATAACAGTGTGTGTCTGCATTGTGCAGACACAGTTCTTGAAGTCAAGGGTACTCTTTTCTGTACAAGTTCTTTCTTTTGACTTCCATGGTTTTACTAGTGACTTTTTTTTCCTCCCTCTCTCGTTTCTCATCCTGTTCCTCAAAGAGCTGACTCTGACTTAAATAAACTAACAAACCACATACTAGAAGTCAGCAAACAAATCTTGGAGCCCTGTGTTTGGAGGTCAGCCTCAGTGGTTAAAGTCTTGTTACCAAAAATGTCTGTGATGCCTGGCGTGCTTGACAACCTCTTGCTGTAAATAGTGGTCCTGGAGCTGAGTGGGCATTAGGAAGGACTGCCTTGTACTGATAGGACTGAACACCACTGCTTCTCAATATTCCTGCTTTTACATTTAATTGATAGCTACTGTTTGCCCAAGCAGCAGCTTTGCTCTGGAAAAAGTGACTTTTTATTGCAATGTGACAAGTCCAGTAACACCCCCATTGTCAAGTCCTGCTGAGATTTAGGATGGGCTCTTAATGTGACTCCAGGTGTGCCTGTGAGGAGGACTGTATCTGAGCAGGAACTACATGCTGCTGCAGGTCACAGAGGTGCCCTTAAAGGACTGTGTGGACTCTCTCCAGGAATGGTGACATGAGTTTCAGAAAAATTAGGGCAGGAAAGGGAAATCTAAATCAGTATATGAGTTCCTGCTGTCTGTAGATCTGCCCTTTAATGCTCAGCTGTTTCTAGCCTGGAAACCCCCATCGGTTAGGAGTTACCAGTCAAACCTCGTCTTGGCATTTGGGTGGCAGGAGCTTGAGACTGGCATGGTCCCCTGCTTGCCCTGGCATCTCCACTGGTATTGCTGGGCTCAGAGGATGGCTTGCTGCTCAATGTGACATCTCTAGTAGGAAGAGCAAAATGCAGCACAGCTACCACTGCTACCAGCAAGGTGATGCTGATGTGCTCTGTCAGTGTTTTCCCAGGGCTCCAGAGACCGCATAGCTCTCTAATTCTAAAGAACAGAAACTGCATTTACAAAAAAAACCCAAAAAAGCCCCTCCTGAAACTTAAATGAAGCTTCCCCATTTCCAGCAAACAGCAGTTAAACCTCTGCCCTGCTTAGAAAAGGACCGGATGAGGGTACTGCTCCAGATTCTTCCTGCAAAGTAAGTCTGTGGCATCAGACAGAGCATCATGCACAGACTCCATGGAGTTGATCTGATAAATGATGGAAATGCTGCAGACCCCTTTGTATAAGCTCCTCTGGTGTCACTTCTTGGAGCAAGCTTATTTTAGTGGTTGTTGGTAGCCTTGTGCTAGCCATGCCTCTGGGTGCTTCCTTGAGAGGGAAAGGTAATTTTGTATTTTTCCCCACTTTTTTCCTTTGTTAATGGCATTCTGTATCTCAAAGGGAGAACACAGTCAGCTTTCTTCTGTCCCCAGTGCCTCTGGAAGCAGAGAGATCCATGGCACGTTGTATTGAAGGACCATGGGGTTTTTTGTAATGTCAGGGTAAGAAGGGTTTTAAAGCCTTTCAAATGACTCTGGGCTCTTGCGTTGGAAGAGTGTAAATGTCTGACAGGAGGGGACAGTCTGTGACCCCACATTCCTGGGCAGGCTGCTGTCTGACACCTACCTGGCTGTTGCTGCTGTCTGTCAGCTATGAAATCATCTCTTGGAGGTCTGGCAGCAAAAGTAGGAAGAGCCTGTCCTCATCTTTGCCGTAGTGCTGATATTTTGGTTTGGATTGGGAGTCACATTGAAATGAATCTGCTGATTTTTCCCCACTTACCCCCCTGAGCTGGCGCTGAAGGGCAGTTTCAGAACACTTAAACTGGATTCATTTGTGCTGTGACCAGGAAGAGTTGCTGTAGTAGCATACTTACTGTGCCCTGATGGCTCTGGACGTTGTCCACAAGACCCTGCTGGAGCTTCCCTGCTGTGAAGGCTCTTGTTGCTTGGACCGCTGGAAAAAATTGTATGTTACAGTTTTCTTTTGATGATTTGAAGGGTGCTGAAGGGGAAGTTAACTGGTTTGAGATGCCCTATGAGCCAGCACTGCAGACAAGAGGAGGAACTTCTTGTATGTATGTCACATCTCTGCTAAAACACACATTACCTGTTCTGAATGCACATTGCACGACGCTGCTGTATCTGAGTGGTTTGTCGAGATTTACCCCAGGTAACAGACCTACAAGCTGAAATGCCCTTTTGTGTTAAAACTGTGGTTGAGCACATGTCTGCAGTCATCCAGGCACATGAGATTTCCATCTCTGGGTGATGGTGGTTGGGAGGTGGGGCTGATGAACAGCAAGGGGATAATGCTGGAGCCAGTCTTAGGGACTCCTGCTTGCCTTCCAATGTACCTGCTGTGGCCCTGGTGTCCCTGAAGATGTGGAGGTGCAACTGTGGGCTAGTGATCTTCAGAAGATACAGCTAATGCTCTTTGCATCTTAAGCACTGTTGTGCTGCCCTGGGGTTGGGAAGAGAGGTGCCTACAGTGTGAAATTGCTTTTTTTTGAGGGAGCAGCATTTGCTATACAGCACAGGAGAAACTGAAATGAAAGGCATTTTGGAGCTGAAGTCCTGAAGAGCCTCCCTGCTCTTTTCTGGACTTGGTTTTACAGCTGTGGCATTGGGGATTATTCAGTAATCAGTACCACTGGGCTGAAAATGTGTGAGGAGGCAGGAGCAGCATTCGTATCAATTTGGCGGGCCACTGTTTGCATGAATGTGGGTGGCCCTGCCACTGACTCCTCTGCAGGATGGGGTGCAGGGCTTGAATATCTTCAGCAAATCTCTCTGTTTTCTAGGTAAATATGTGGTTTAGGTTTTTTTCTTTTAGGGTTTGTCTTTTTTTTTTTTTTTTTTTTTTTTTTTTTTTTTTTTTTTTTTTTTTTTTTTTTTTTTTTTTTTTTTTTTTTTTTTTTTTTTTTTTTTTTTTTTTTTTTTTTTTTTTTTTTTTTTTTTTTTTTTTTTTTTTTTTTTTTTTTTTTTTTTTTTTTTTTTTTTTTTTTTTTTTTTATTTATTTATTTATTTATTTATTTTTATTTATTTATTTTTATTTTTATTCTTTGACAAGTAGTGGTGGTATGCGGTCTGTGTAGCTCTTCAAATATTTAGGCAAGGAGCAGGGCAGGTCTCATCCATAAGGCTGTAGAGACAGGAGAGAGTTGCATATTACCTGATAAAACTGTTGGTGAATATATGATACACCCCTGTGCACACAGACAGTATTTTCCAGTGATTCACCTTGCCCAAGTGGAAGCAGCTGGTAAGCACTGTCCATACCCGGTGGAGCTGGGGATGATGCCCATGGCTGAAGCTTGTGGAGAGCTCTTTGGAGGACAGGGGACATGTGTCTGCCTCTGCAGGGAGCCTGAGCCACCAGTACCATCTGGCTTGCTCTGCTTTGGTTGCTCCTTGGGCTTTACTCACTGGACTGGTGATGGGGTGGTGGTAAAGGATGAGGCTGGATCATGGGAGGCATCTTGTTTCTTTAAATGTTTCTATGATCCAGTCCCAAAATGTTAGGGGCTGGAAGCTTACTGTCTTTACAAAATAGCTCCAGTGCTTCAAAACATAGGGATTACTTTCCTTCCCTTGTTTTTGCCTAGATGAAGTCCTGCAAGTCAAATTAGAAACATTAGAAAGATGCAAAAAAGATGATAGGCCAAAAAATAATCTCAGAACCATGACTGCTCCACATGTTCTGAGATGCAGAGTAAGAAGAGACTGGTGGCCTCTCTGCACTGGCTCTGGAGGGGTGTTTCTCTAGATCTGAAATGAAAGTTACACCTACATTTCAGATAGCACATCAACACTTGCATCACTGTTGATGTGAAATAGCAACCTCCAAAGGCAGTTTGGCATTTAAGAGCATCCTAGGATTAGTCTTTGCTGGGAGAAATAGCACAGTCTGTTTAGTCTTGTTTTAAAGCTGGATGTATTGGTTCTCAGGAATTTCCAGGTCCAGTTGTGGCTGGCCTATTTTCAGACATGAAATTAATGCCACTTAATTTTCAGACCAGGGCTGGACTTCTACCATGCCTTTGCTGGGCAGACGGTCCAGGCGAAGCAGTGCACAGGAGCAGCTCCATGGGCTTCACCTCCTTTGCTCAGTGTCTGCTTTTAGTATCTGTAATGGTGGGTGGAAGTGTGGTTTCACATTACACATAACCCACAGAAGAAGTCACCCTGTTTTACTGCCTCTTGCATTGTGTCTGTCGGTATCTGTATGGCTTCAGGGTGTGCCTGGTTCAGCTTGCAGTACCCACCCAAAATCCTTGTTTTAAGTTGTCATAGCAGCAAACTGGCGGGAATACCTGGCTGTGAAGATGAAAGAGGGAAACTAATCCCCAGCAGCTGAACTGAATTAGACATGAAGAGAAAGTGCTCACCTAAAGTAGCAGATAAAAACCCTGCAGAGCAGTGGTTTGCCGGTCAGAGGAGTTCCTGCTGCTCTCTGAGGGCAACAGCCTCAAAGCTACCAAAGGGAGGGGAAAAAAAACAAAAAAATCAGTTGGGTAGGGTTGGGATGGTGGGGAAAGGAGTCTGGTAAAGGTGCAGGAAATGGATCAGGGTTTAAGTGTCATCGAGATGATGGATTGAGCCAGTTGGGAGGATACCCCCTGTTAGTACTTAGGGTGGCTACATCATCCTCCCAGCCACCATGGATGTTTAATAATTAAAGGTAAACTTCTTGATAAGTATCTTACAGGCTTTGCTCAGTTTTGGTGTGAAAAGATGAATGTAAGAAAGATTCAGGTTAAAAAAATAACTTTGAGAGATGTGACAGCTCAGAGATCTTTGTGAAAGGCAGTGACTTCCAACTAAAATTGTGGAGCTGCATCTCTTTCTCAGCTGGGGCTCTCTTCTCTGTTGATAGCAAGGTATTTCCTCTTCTCCAGAAAAAAAACCCAAAACATTACTTAAATAGAACTACAGACTTATATGCTTGATGAGTCCTTTTCAGTCTTGAGTAAGTTATGGAGCATCTGACCTTGGAAGGGTATTATTGCCCCCTGTGGTACTGGCAGGAGGAGGCCAGCTGTCCTTTGTGGGCTCACAGGAGGTGCTCCATGAAGCTTGGGTTTCTGCTCTGAGAATCAGCCCCCTCAAATCTTCTAAAAATTTCTTCCTGCTCAGATGTAGAGCTGCCCCACCCTTCAGCTAGGTACATGACCATTTCTGTAATACTTGTTTTCCCAGAAAAATCTGGTGCTGCTACCTGCAGAGTTTTTAGCTGATCTATCAGGTTTTAACTTTCCTATTTAATTTCCTTCATGTTGCAAGAACTAGCAGGCTAAAAAAACCTGTTTTTTTTCTTTCTTTAGTAGATTTTTGAGGAAAGCTTTGAGAGGGGCAAGAGGTGCCTAATCTTGCTTAAGTTTCAACATATCAAATTTAATATCAAGAATGACTAGCATGGTGGTGCTTACCTTGTTAGGTGCATCAAAAATACATTAATTAAGTTTTCAGGTTTTGAAAATGTGGAAAAATGCTGGGCATCCATCAAGATCATTTTACAGGATGCTGTAAAGTTAAATGAGTATGTGGCCATATTTAAGCAAAAGGGTGCTTAGGTTTTTTGCTTAGAAACCTATTAATGAAAAGACTGATGATTAGTTTGCCGGTGCTTGGATAGATCTTTAAACTGCCAGCTGTGTTCACCAAATGCTAAAATAAGGTTTACAGCTTTTGGGGGACAAATGCGAATGGAAATGGGGCTTTGGAGGTGCTATCCCAAGCTGCAAGATGGGTGCTTCCATAGTACATAATAACCACTTTCTTAATTTGGGAGCATGCACTTTCCATGCAGGTGATGGAGCTGCCTGTGGATGTTGTGCATCAGCTGTAAGGGGGTGAATGCCTATGTACAGTCATGGCACTGGGCTGCAGTTTGGGAGTATTAAATTAGAAAGGGCTGCAACAGTCTGGCCCCAGGTTTTCTGATTTGCCGTGCTTCTTTCTTGCAGGTGAATGGAAAAGGGTCGTTGTGGTGCGTTGACCCCAAATATAAACCTAATCTTGTCCAAGCACTGAAAAAACAGCCTTTTTCCTCAGCACTTGCATTTTATACTCCGCCGGCATCACCACCAAGGTAGGTGAATCCTCTGATCCGAGAAGGGCGCTCAGTCACGTTTCTCCGCCTGGCAGAGGAAATGCCCACATGGCTGTTGATCTGTTGTTTCCATTTGCCACCCGAGAGAAGAATTTGAGTGGGGCTTAGGTGAGAGCAGCGAGATGGGGTGGGGAGATTTAATGAGCTTGGGCTTCCAGGTAGCACATCTGAGGTGCGTGTCCAAGTTGTCTCCTTAACTGCGGGAGAGTTTCAAAGAAGAAGGTCAGGGGTGTGCTGGGTGCTTATGGGTAATCCCAGTTTCTCTAGGGGCAAGCAGTCCTGGGAATTGGAGCAAAATCCTCCTTCAAGCACATTTCACCAGGACTGAATCAGGTGTGCCTGGTGCTGTTGGCTTTGGAGGAGGTGGGCGTCTTCTACTATAAGTCACTTGTCTGGTTATAAAATGTATATACTCCATGCTGTTGTCAAAAACAATCAACTTTTCTACAGTCTGAAGTGCTTAGAAAGGCTGGTCTGCAAGGGCTGTTTTTCTCCAAGGCTGTTAAAAGGATTTTGCAGCAGGGATGGAAAAAACAGTCTTTGCCATAAATATACTCTGAGGTGGAGCATGCAAGACTTCTAAAACCAGGGCTTCCTTACCAGTACTTTTTAAGCTCAGGCAATAGATTTGGGGGAATTTGAAGTCAATCTCATGCATCCTCAGTGGAGGAAGGGGGGCTGGGTCAGGCTATAGAGGTGGGACAGAGAGGAGGAGCACAAAGCAGAGGAACAAAGCATTGAGTGAGCTCAGTTCTTAGGTAGGCATGTGGCCGGTTTGTCTAGTTCAGCAAAGAATTTGGGTGAGATAAGAGATAATTAAGGTCTCTGTACATTGACCTATGCCTTCACCTTACTGCAAGGAGCTTCCTTAACAAACAGGAGGAACTGGGATTACTGGACTGGTAACATTGAGCAGGCGTTTCTCAGGGTCCAACAGGACACCGACTCTGGGAGCTGGCAGTCCCATGCAAGCCTTAGCTGTCTGGCTGAAGATTTTTGTGTGGCAGCAGCTTTTTCAGTTGAGCTTGTAACCTACAAGATATAACCAGTTATCTCCGGTCTCTCTCCAACCCAGGGCCACCTTGGGTTGGAACAAGCCAGGCAGAAGTATCCTGTTTTCCAGCTTTCTGCTGGAATGGGAGCAGTACTAAAATAATCCCAAAGCATTTAAGTATTAAGAAATAGTCAGCTTGGAAAGTATGGGATGACTGGTGGTATTGCTTGGTTTTATGGGAATAAAGATTATTGAAATGGCTGTAATCAGGCTCTAGAGGATAATGCTTTTACAGGCTTTAATGTTTCTATGTAAGGGCAGAGACTTCTGTTTTTTGCTACAACTCAAGTGAAGGTTTAGTCCTTGAAAGCTTTAATACCATGTCTGTGTTAACACAGTCAGACATTAAAATGTAGAGAATAATGGAGATGGAGAGGGACCTCTGGATGCTGTCTGTCCAGTCAGAGGCACAGAGGATCCAGACAGGCTCAGCCTAGGGCAGGGAGTTCATTAAAGCTTTTAGTGTCTCCAAGGTCTTCAAGATTAGTCCAACTGAAGTTATGTTGCAGTGTGGTTTACTTAGCTTGTCTAAATGCAACATACTGAAATTCAGTGTAGGGAAGGAGAGATTTTATCTGAACGCTGAAGTACTTAGAAGATCATGACTTAATTTCAAGCTGTTGTTTTTGGTAACTTTTTTTCCCCCCTTCACTGAAGGACTAGTCACGCTTGCCAGCAATCACGATTACAAGGAAATCCTGGTTCCAGTGAAGCCACATGGCAGAATTCCCACTGTCTTCAATATGGGAAGGGTTTTGCAGTGCTTATAGTTATGAGTACAAGAAAATAAGAAACAACATTTTAAGATACCAGACTTTTTCCTAATGAAAGCTGGTTTATTTTCCTTTAATAGTAAAAAAACCCCATATATATGACTTTCCATCACACACAGAAAACCAGATTTTTTTTTTCCCCTTCCACATTTAAAGATTCTTGGATTTGATTTAAATTCTGGCCTAATTTCAGGGAAGGGCCCCTCCAGGGTCTGCCTTGTTGAAGAGAGAGAGAAAGCCCAGAGGTACAGCTGGAGAGAGTCTGGAAGTACTATCCAAATTTATCTACAGGGTGATCCTAAAATTCGACTGTGAGAGTCTCTGAATTGTTCTGTGGGAAGGCTAGTGTTCATAATTATTTCACAGTGTGTTTGTGGGGAGTATGCCTATCATTCAGCAGGATTTTAAAATAAAATTTAAGCTGTTACTTTGAGCAGAAGCTTTCCAAAACTGTAATCTGTGTCTAGTGACACTGAAATTTGTATCATCATAGATGATTTTGGCATCCCTGATGCGTTTTATTTCTGCACAGCTTGTTCAACAAGTTGATGCAAAGCCCCCGGCTGCATTTTGTTTCTAGTACTACATGTATTACAGCCCTGGGCTCTGGGGATGGCCACAGTCCTCATCTTGCACATACCTTGTGCATAGCTTGTCTAAATCAATACTGGGCATTAATTTGCTCTGGGGAAGCTCCATGTGGATGTGATTTTTGAAGGATGTGAGCTTAGAACAAAAGGATGAAGATGTTTAGCATCTCTCTGTACAGTGGATCTGCAAAGCCAGCCTGTTGGGGTTGGACCATTGCTTTTATTTTAGTTTTAATTCTTTTTTTTGTTTGTTTTTCACCCCATTTTTAGAGTTCCCTTTCTCTCCAGTGCTGCTCCAAGAAAACATACCAGACAGTGAACTGTAGTTTTCCACTTGTTCCCATCCAGCTGAGCTGGAACTTTTTCCCCTTGGTTACAACACTGGGAGGTGCTCAAATATTACTCTCCTTTTCAGTAGCTTTGGTTACCAGTGCCAGGCAGGCTGTGGTGCAGCGAGAGCTCCTTGTGTAGCCCAGATGGTGCATTTCAAGCCACCTTGCTCTGATTTTTTTTTTTTTTCCCTCCTACGCTGTAGCAGCCTTTGGAGCTGTTACCAATGGCTAGCTGAGTTTGGATAATACGGTAGCACGTGGAGCAGTGAGGGTATTAAATGGGCACATTTGTTAACATCTGTGCAGGACAGCTCATCTCAGGGTGGCTGAGATGTGTACAGTCTCAGCACCAGCCAGTCACCAGTGAAAAGTATTTTCTTCAAACTTGAATGTAAAGACTGAGGATTTTAGTTTAAAAAAGGCATTTTTAAACCTGAAGTATTTATTTGAGTTTTAATGAATGATCTAGACAAATAATTACAATCTTAAACATTTAGCAGCTTTGTGATTTTGGGGGGCGTTGTGGCTGCGCTTTATTTTGGAAAACAGAGCTGCCTAAATATGATAAATATAAAAGGTAAACACACCTTAAGGATGAAAATCACCCCCTTAATCCTGTGAGGTTTTTGTTAAAGAGTGGGTTTGATAATTCTGCTCATCACCCTTCATTCTTCCAGCAACACTACAAAAGACACAATAAAAATAGTACACGCTATTAAAATTGCATGAAATGTAGCAATGTGCTTTTTTTTCTAACTGCTTGCTAGTATATTTATAATGAACTGAATAATTAGGACTGGGTGTGTAGCAAAAAAAACCAAACACATGCAACAGCTTTAACTTGCCCTTTTATTCTGTAAGGGATTTAGTGGTGCTTTGCCAGGTGCAAAGCTGGTCTGATTAGGAAAAAACCCTGGATAGCATCACCAAAACAGCCGAGCTTCAGATAAATTTAAAATCATCAGGTATCTTGGTTGGGTTTTTTTTTTTTTTTGTTCTTCCCCAGCTTTTTGCACGTTACTTTTCATTTTTGTTAGTTGCCCACCGCTGTTTGGAAGAGCAGGCAGACACAACTCCTTACCTGCTGTGTTGCTCCAGGGCTCTAAGCATCCCTGTGTAAGCTGAAGTTTAGTTCACATATAGGTTTTACGTACAAAAAAATACATGGTTTTGCTTAAAATCCAGCCTTTAGGCAACTATATAAAATCTGTAGAAGTCAGTATGTCTTGCCAACAAGATTTTTGCTTTAATTGTGTGTGGTTGGAGGTGTTTTCCAAATGCTGATGATGGCTTTAAATAGTTCTACATAAACTGTCAACCAAAGTGTCAAGCCATTTACTGAGGGCAACAGGAATTGCTTGCCTACCTCTGGCAGTAGGGTTGGTTTTGGTTTTACCCTTCTGTGATCATAATACAGTGTCTACTTCACTTTGTACAAATCATTTGCCTAAATTAGGGCTTGGCTTTGAGTTGTTGAATTTCTTTTCAGTAGGTCGTCGTCCCCTCACTACCTGACTTCAGTCCTTCAGCAGAATCACGGCCGATCTCTCAAAGGTAAACATTTAGTTTTCCTTCACTCTGCTCCCCTGGTTTTAGTCACAAGCATGTACTGCAGCCCAGCTGATGTTGTCTGTGGACCTGCTCTGAAGGGTCTCCTAGAGGACAGAAAAAACAGATGTAATTACAGCGTATGCGTATTATATCAGCCACTGGTGCTTTAATTTTAAATCCATAAGGTGAATTTCAAGGTGTAATTGGAGCCATCTTGTTCTGACAGCAAAGTATTCAGCACATGCATCACTCCCAAATATGACCTACTTAAAGAATGAATAGTTTAGTAGAAAACAAATCTGAAAAGCTGCACATCTCTGTACTAGTTTTATTGAAGACCAAGGACTGAGAACCAAAGGCAGCAAATTTTAATGTATAAAACTTGTGGGATGTGGCCACAAAAGTTGAATCTAACAGAAAGTGAGCGTGTGTTGTACAGGAGTGTTGTTAAAGCTCTTTCAAAACGACAGTGAAAGGCCACCGACAGTGGGTCCTGAGCAGCACAGCAGACACCCAGCTCCCTGGTTTTGATAGCATGGTGGGCTTAGAGGGAGGAAGGTTGCTTTTAGTTTTGGACACAAGCCAGCAGCTTTGGTTAGGCAGCAAAGCCAAGGCTTTTTAGAGACCAGGCAGGTGCCTGACCCACAGATGATAACCATCGTGCATCCAGAAGGAGGCTTTATGGTTGTACGTGAGTGGCAAGGAAGCTTCCTTGGCTGGCTGGCTGCAAGATCTGGGATTCTCAGGGCTCGTTAGAGGATACAAGAAATCCCCCTCCTCCTGATGATTTTGCTGGTGTGTCCTGTGACAGGTATGGAGATTGCCAGCCTGATGCTAACTGTTCCAATTAGCTACACTGGAGGTGCCGAAATAATGATTTGTGTCTGTTACCATTTAATTTCTGCATCTCAGGGAACCTGCTCAGCATTTCTCTGGAATTAGAGGGAAGCTATTAATGTTCCTGGGGTCACATAGGTCAGCTCTTGTGCAGATGAAAGAATTCCTTGTAATAAGGTGCTTCCTCAGCTGTTCTGCTGGAGAAGAATAAATTTGGGAAATACTGCTCTGTTGAGGAGAGCAATCACAAATGAAGCCAAAGCACCTTAACAGTGACACAGAGTACTGCTAAGAAGTCACTGCAGAAGTGTCTCTCCTCTTTCTTTGGGAGTATTAAGGTGCAGAATACTCTTTGCAGGTAGTAATCCTGTGTTGCATTAATGCCTCCAGTTACTTGCCATCTTAACAAATGGTGCTTATGTACCAACGTCAGATGATAAAATAAAATGTCTGTGATAGCAAGTAAGGAATGGAAATATTTTACTTTCTGGTTACACTAGCGGAGCAAAGTAACTCTTCATGGGTTTTTTTCACTTCTTTTTTTCAGTTGGATACACGTGGCCTATAAATTCAGGGGCTCTATTTCTGCCAAAGAAAGACAAAACAATAACAAAAATAATCTCATGAGCACAATACCTTAAAGTATAGTGGGTTTAAAATGAAAGACATTGAAAACAACAGGGGAATGTGTATGTTTTATAACCTGTGCTGGAAACAGCAGGCCAGTCCCCTTCCTGTGTTGATGCAATAACACAAGGTGTCATGTTCTTCAGATTTCTCCCTGGCCAAGGATGAAGGTAGGGATAGTTGTCAAGATAAGGAAGCCACAATGACAACTCTGCAGTCCCCTTCCCAATACTAACCCTCTCCTCAAATTCAGTAATATAGCTAATGCCTGTAATGTAAGGGGGGAAAACAAATGCCATCAGAAATGACATTGCTGATGGTTCACTTTAACAGTTCCTATCCCATTTCCAGTTCAGCAGAACTGAGAGCCTGTTTTGCTTGCTGCTGGTCCCTTCCAGCACATTGTCTTCCAGCCTCTCTTTTCCACTCACTGCTTATGCATATGTACATACCTAGATACACCTCGGATGTGATTTTTTGTTCTCAGACACCAAGGCCCTTGTGAGAGCTCACTGTCTCTTTGCTCTTCTTTTGCCTGGTTAGTCCACCATGTATATTTCTGTCCTGTATAAGGAGCAGTCATCATCCATTGCTGAAGTGAGCCAAGGAAGACCTTGGATTTCCACTTTTTAAAAGTGCATGAGCATATCCTGAAATGAGTGGGAAAGGCATGCTTGTTTCTTTTCCTTTTCACCTGATTCTGGTTAGAAATGTCACTCTTGGCCCTAATATCCTCAAGGTGCCTTTCAGAGATGTAAGCAATCCTCTCTGGGCAGCAAAGGACGGCATTTTACAGCAGCGGTTGTCACCCCAGCTGACAGTGCTGCGGTTCACCTAAGCCTTTTTACGTGCCTATTTATTATTTAGATCCCCATGCTTTCTAGATCAAGCAGTTCAGTGCCCTTTCCCCCCTCGTATTCTCAGTTTCTTCCGTTTGACTTATTAGTGTGAAAAACATTGCTGGGGGAGGGAGATGTCCTGAATTAGTGCTGTGTTAACAGGCATGGTTGTTCTCAGCCTTGCACAATCACATAGCCAGGGTATGAAGCTGCTGAGATGTTTTGCTGTGCCATGTGTCTAATCTTTCTCTCTCAGTCGATACAAACAAAAGGCACTTGTTAAGTATAGCAACAGCATTGTCACATGAATGTCTAATTATGTCACTGATTCTTGGCTTCAGTAAGTGCAACGTGAGAATTCAGCTTTTGAATAGCCTAGTTAAGGTATGAGACTGATCTGTAACAGTGTTGTGATGTTCAAATCATGCTTGGTCTGAGTTTGTACATTCCCCCTGCCTCCACTTTTTATTGTAGGCCAGAATAGGCAGAAATGTATATGTCCTTTGTATGTTTTAGGGACCTCATCTTGTCAGGCTTACCTGAGATTTAACATTTTGCTGCTTCTGCTTCACAGAATCTGATATTGATGCTGCTACCGCAATGATGCTGTTAAATACTTCCATTCAGCAAGGGATGTTGGACTGTAAGCATAAACCATTTTACTCTGTTTTTCTTCTCTACTCAATAGCTAAAGACTTTCTCTATAAAATTTCAGGAAACAAGCATGGTCTAGTTTCCAAATAATAAGAGCGGTCAAGAAGTAATTCTGGTTTGATTGTTCTTTCAGCTAGCATTGCAAGGGTTTTATTAGAACCACCTTCATTTTCTTTTCCCAGTTAATTTTAGGGTTTCTCTGCAAAGTTTTGTCCTTTGCCCTCTCTGTGTTAAATGGTAAGAAGAGCTTCTTGGCTCCTTCTCTGTAGCTCTTAGTTGCAATTAGCTGAGGGTTGTTGTCCTCTGTGGATGACAATAAATGTGCACAACAGACCACAACTCTTAACTGCTGACATTCAGCTCACCTTGCAGTCAGCCAGCCCATTGTGCACGTGATATCATTAGAGTATTTGCTTACTGACACATCTTGTTTTTAATAGGTGAGAAACCTCAGCCTCTGAAGGCACCCAAGAAGAGGAGCTATGGCAGTGCATTCAATCCTCCGAGTTCCATAAATTTGCAGGAAAACGATTCCGCAGCCACCAATATTGATCCGAACGAGGATCACAACTACAGTGCCAGCAGCATGGGTTCCCAGCGCTGTGCATCCAGGTCCAGCGTGTCTTCCTTGTCCTCCCTCGACGAGGTGTATGAATTTATTTCCAAGACCAGCCATGACGGGAGCGATGGCAGTGAAGGATTTCACAGTGAAGTGGATACAGACGTTGACTATGAAGATGATCCTCTTGGAGACAGTGGCTATGCATCACAACCTTGTGTGGATACCTCTAAGGAAAGTCAGTCTAGCAAGAAATCATTCGAGGAATTATGTCAAGAAATCGATGAGGAGTTGAAAGAAGCCGCGGGGTCTCTGCTCCACCTTGCTGGCATCCAGACGTGCTTGAGTTCCTTAATAAGTACTGCAAAGACCCACTGTCACAAGCAAAGGAAAAAATAATATGTTTGTCAGTGTTGAATATATACATATATTTTTTTTAATTGTGGCAATACTCTTCTACTTTTACCCTTCACAAGGGAGATCAAAGCCATAAGAGGACTCACTGCTTTTTTTATTTTTGACGCAAACTATAATTTAGCCATTTATTTTTAAATCACCACCTAAAAAGAGAAATAGAATATTTAATCTTCTCAAATTAGAGATGCATGACTTGTGAAAACCTGAAAGCATACTTCTTAGTGATCACTGTTTATTTTTTTTCTTTTTAATAGCTGACTTTATTTTTATTTTAGAGATATGTTTGTTCAGATGCACACTGTGGATCATATTTACATCTCTGCTGGCCCCATCTGCAGAGGTGAATTTTGTTCTAAGGGCTCTGACTTCCATGTAAAGGATTAAAAAGGAGGAGAAAAAAGAAAAAGAGGGAAAGAAAAGGTCCTGGCCTTGGTTGACTCCTCCCACCTGTCCTCTCTTCACTTTTTAGACAGGTCCTAGTGAAAACACTGGTGAAGCAACTCTGAGTTGCTGCGGTTTTTGGCCTTTCTGACACAGTAGCTGAAAACCCTCAGGAGCTGCTTTCAGCAAGATAATAAACACCCCCTGGAGGAGTGGGATAAGGGGTAGCTGAGGTGGGTACCACCCACAATTTCTTTTTTTGTCCCTCCTTCCCCCAAATCTGCTGTGTGCAGCTCAGATTCCTGAAGGAACATGGTTTGTTGTTTTATCTTAAGACACGTTGTGGGGTTTTTTGGGGCAGGGGGTTGTCCTTTTCATGCAGATACGTGCATTCCTACATATGCTTTGGATGTGGCCAACAGTGACAGCTGCTGCCGTCCAAGTCAGATGTTGTCTTTGTGTTACCACCACTATTGAATATGTAGTACCTACACACACAGTCCTGCTACGTCTACCCTTCTGCTCCCCTGTACCGGTTTGGGAGGGAAAAAAGAGCCCAGCAGTTGGTGGTGGTGACAGTGCAGATAAGGTGGAGGCTTTAGCTGGCAAACAGCTGCTGAAAAGGGAATGTTGCTGCCTAATCTGAGACAAAATGGAATCACTTCCTTTTGGATCTCTGAACCCTGAATCAATAGAATCATAGGATGTGGTGAGTTAGAAGGGATTCATCAGGATCACCGAGTCCGACTCCTGGCCCTGCACAGGACCCCTAGGGCCCTTTCCACGGCACTGCTCTCCAGCCTCTCATTCCCCAGTCCATACACACAGGGTTGCCTATCCCAGGTGCAGAATCTGGCACTTGCCCTTTTAAACTTCATGCAGTTGGTGCTTGCCCATCTCTGATTTGTTGAGGTCTCTCTGCAGGCCCCCCTGCCCTCAAGGGAGGCGACAGCTCATCCCAGTTTAGTGTTGTTGGGGGTTTTTGCCTCTTCACCCAGTGTTTGCTGGTTTTGTCACATGGACTGTCCATCCATACCTTTTGTTTCCCAGATCACTGTGCCTTGTGCTGTGTGAACCCCATCAGCTTCCTGCCACATATGGGGCATCCAACGGGCAAGGCCTTTGCCTTTGGACGTGCATTGAGGCTCAGGAGGACCTCTGTTTTGGGAAGAAATTCCTTCACAATTCATTTTGCAATAAGAAAATCTCTTTATAATTCCTAGATGTCCTTCAGCCAAAAATGTTTAGTGGTATGTTGAACTTTATCCTTGTTTTTTTTTTTTTCCTTTTAAAATCAGTGGTGATTGCTTACATCTTCCTTTAGATAATGGCCTTTTTTATTTCTTTTTTTCTTTTAATTTTCTGTTCAAAAATGGGTAAGCAGTTCAGTTGGAGTGGCTTTTAACAGTACTGTACATACAAGGATGCCTTAAGTATGTTGCAGAATTGTATACAGCTATCCAACGTCATCTTTCCTGTTGCTAAAAGGTAGCACGATGTGCCATAAACGTTCTCACCAAGGTGAAGCTGTTGCTTCCAGCAGGTGTTGGGCAAGCTGGTTGAAAATTAGGAGCAGAGCCACCTAGGAAACCAATGTCCACTGTGGAGAACAGTGCTTGATTCAGCCAAAAGTTAACCTTTCCCTAAGGGGGTATTTTCCTGGCTATTTGGATGCCTTTCTTAGATTAGTGGGGGGGGGAGTTTACCCCTTTTTCCTTTTTCTTCGTATTTGTCAGTCTCTTCATGAATACTGTCATAAACTATTTTAAATGCAAACACAGCCATGCTGCTGAAGGTCTGTTGCTCTGAGGGCCCATTCCAGTGCCTCTTGAAGACAACGGTGGTGCTCCTGCTGACTCAATGGCTGTTGGATCAAGCCTGAAATATTTGTGTTTTAGAATTTAAAGCACAAACACTAGGAGAAAAAAACATTTTTTTTTTCTTTTTCCAATTACTTCAGTTTTAATAATTATTTGGTTTATTTCTGGAAAGGGAAGGAAAATACTCTGCTTCATTGCTGCATTGTGTGAACACCTGTTAGGCTATGCCTGTAACAGAGCAACGTGTGCAGATGTGTATGTCTTCTGGCTATCACAAGTGCTGCATTAGCCAATTAGATGTGATTTTGGATGTGTTAGTGACGGGTAGTAGGGGTAAAACTCGCCATTTAAAGGAAAGTGAATTACCAACACAGTGGTTCTTTGGATTTCAGGGTGTGAAGATGTGAATGCTTGGTGGAACCGCTTTTTGCTCATGGGTTGCTTTTGAACTTTGATGGAAAACTGCAAAGGGCAGAGTTTGTGTCAATGTGAAAACCAGGATTCAGATGCACATTAATACTGTGTAGCAGCCTGGGATTTTGCTCAGTGCCATGATTTCAGTTTCACGCTGTTGGAAAGGGGTGCTGCCTGGCTCCTGCTGAAGGTGGTTGCAGCTTTTCTGTAGCTTCCAGTGAAAGCTGGATCAAAGTCCAAGTATTGTGGAAATTCTGCGGTCGTAGTTGGCTCCATGTTTTGATTTGGTTCTGCATTTATTTTATACCTCAGATAAAACTGAAGAAGGATAATACTTACTTGGGAGTGTGGTGGTGCTACTGTTAACCCTGAAGCTGGTGATAATGACTTCAGCATATCTGAGGGGATGGAGTTGGGATGCTAACAGTGCATTTAATTACCGTATGCAATGACCAGTAAAAACCAATTACTAATCAAAGTCAGCAGTGAAAGCTGCATCCATCCTTACAGCTTTCAGCCTGGGAGAACTGGAGTTCTGGAAGTGGGGAAGCAATTGGAGCCTTTCCCTGGGACACAGAGCAAAGCTCTTCATGCTTTGCTGTTTTCCCTCTCTCCTTCCAAAGGAGAAGGCAGACAGTCTGTGCCCCTGACCTGTTCCATTGTGTTGTCCCACACCTCTGCCTGCACGTTTGGGAGGGAAAGGCTGAAAGCTTAGATACAGAGCACCCCTCTTGGGAGTGGGAGAAGAGCTGCCCTTCCCTTCTCTTACATATCTATTGGATTTGGGTTTGTTTGCCACCTCAGCTAGAGACCCTGGTGTATATAGTATAAATGGAGTATAATTAAAAGTTATTTTGATTGTTGGGCTTTGGGTTTTTTTAGTGACATATGTAAAACGTTGATGCCAATGGTTGACTTGGATACATTTTGGCAAGAAAAGTATTAGTGAACCACATTCAATTCTTTAAATGCAGTGAAGAAGTGTATGAGGCTTTTGTACCTGGGAAGTTGCTCTGTTCAGGGTAAATCTGATGTGAATACTGTACAAACCTATATTGGCCTTCCAGATTCCAGTCCTAAATTTCTGATTGGCAGAAGTCACATCAAATGTTTTAAAATCCAACTGTAAAATGGAAGTTGTGTGGTTTGCAACTTTTCATCAGCCTGAAAAGTACAAGCTTTAATTAAAGCAAAGTACACTCATACACGGTAATAATGGTGTGGTCAGAATATTTATTGAAAAGAAAAGGTAGATATTTTAAATGTTGCACCTGCTTTTTTATCTTAAAGCACATTCTTCACACCTAACTGCCATTGCCATTATCAAGTCTGTTTTATAAGTGTACATTTCTTCAAATTAAAAAGTTCATAATTAAAAGTATTATGTTACTGCCATATAGTGATATAAAACGTTTTATAATTGCCAATTCATTGTAACTATTATTTATTTAAAAGTGAATTGTAAGAATGCTTTCTGATCAAATGAACCAGAGTTGTTTTTAAACCATTCCCGTTAGCTTGTTTCTAATGTAGCATAAACAATGTCCTTGGGTTCGTTTAGAATAATTTTGCCAGTAGGTGACCAATTCTAACCGTTTTTCCTCCGGTTTAGTCCTTTACCCGTTTTAAAGACGATTTACAGAAGTTTAGTTTTTTGTATGCTAATCTCTTTTAATTAAAAGGTTTATAAATTTTATTTTTACCAAAGAGATGCAATTCATTATGACAAAATATTGCAGAATAAACTTTGTTTTATAACATTTGTGACTTTTCTGCCCACATTTTTCATTCAGATGATCAAAGGGGCTTTTCTAAAATAAACAGCATTGCAAACACAAAGCGCTGTGTTCTCTCTTTGTCTCCAGACCCTGGTTCTGATCTCAGACGGTGCTGAGTATTCCACCTTCCCATTTAAACTTCTTCCATGAGACTGGACCAGTGTAAAAAGCCAAATGTGTGTTTCACTGTAGGTTAGTTAAGACTGTTGCATGCATTTGGAAGTCATCTGTAAAATACCTACCAGTCCGTAGCAGGATTTGCTTACAGTCAGATTCATCCATAGCTGGCCCATAATATTTGAAGAACATCTTTTTAAGGCCAGGATTTTAGCCTGGAACTTAAAGAATGTTTTGACATCTTGGAAATTGCTGAAACACTACTGCGTAATATTTTACCCTCCTGTGCAAAGCATTCGTTTAAATAGAAATAACTTGAATCTTTTGCTGATGAAACTGTGATTATTTACTGTTCTGTGTCCATACTGCTATGGATGATACTCAAAAGATCGACAACCTAATACAAGACAGATAATTTAAGAAATGTGTCCCTGGACAAAGCTTCATACATCTTGTTTGGGGTTTTTTCAGTGTTTACTTTCCCTAGATATGATGTTTGATGTCTGTCAGGTCTTTATCCAGAAGGCCTTATGGAAAGCACAGAGGTGGGAACACCCCCTCTTCACTAGCAGGGATGAAACATTTCCCATCCCACTTTATTCATGCCTCAGCTTACTGCTCCTGGGCCAGCTTTCCCCTGAAATGCACACACGTGTGCCCTTCCAGTGCCTGAGAGGCAGAAAGACCAGAGAGGGGAAACAAGATGTGACCTGGTGTTTATCTGTTAGAAGCAGACATTGGTCCACCTTCTCTATTTTTATTTGTTTAACCTACTAGTATCACTGAGTTAAGCTTGCTCTGTAGGATCTGATGACAATACAACTTTCTCAATAATTGAAGTGATAGAGTAGATGTTAACAAACACTTGCTTTCGTTGCCATATCAAATAGAATTTAAATCACACATTACAGAATACATATGTGCTATTAATATTTTTTATTTAGTGCTAATATACTGATAAGAGAACAACTGCTCTAATTAGTTTGGACAAAATCACAGCTATGTATCATATGTTAATGATATCTCTCTAATTGTTATTCTCTGTATTATGCTGAGAACCTTGAGCTCGTTGTTAAATTTCCCAAGAGTGTTTTCCTCTGTTCTGGCTTTGCTGAAAATTACCCACAACTCTCAAAATAAAGCATTAACTGAAGCAATTATGCACTTACACCAGCTGTATTTTCAGGACAGTTGTTGAGGATATACTTCTTAGATAGATTTATTTTGAAAAAATGGCTGTCTAAATTTGACACAGAATATGGTTACTCTTTCACAGATTTTGAGCTTACAGGTACCTGTAAGTGTTCTTAGTTTGAGCAGTCTGAGTAAATACATGTACCTGTGAACATCTGGTGTGCTTAGAGGCAATCACATCACAGTCCAACAATGTTATTGTGAACTTTCCCAGCATATTTAGACATAAAAACTCTTCCCTGTTTTTATCCTTGAGGTTTATTCTTGCCTCTGAGATGGCAAAGCAATATCACCTCTGCTTGAATTTTCAGTCTTTGGGTCAGTTGGATTTCTTCTCTCTTTTCTTCTAGAAGGCTCTCCTGAAAGCTGATTGCTCTTACCATTATAAACTACTTAGAGCTAATGTAAAATTATTAACTGCTGTCCGCCAGTGTTAGTTTAAACAGGTCTTCGTTAAACACCAGTGTGTTTGTTTTCCTATTGCATCAGTACAAAAGCAATCATTTCCCTCCTTAGACTCTTGACTTATTAAACAAACCAAGACTATTTGTTTTCCTTTTGGAAGACATGATCTTCATTCCTCTAAACCACTTTTCTGTACATCAATTCCAGTTTTAATTCAGCCTGCCAGCACGTGCATGAGAAGAGTGAAAACCACCCTTCTCGAGTGCTTTTCTTTGAAATCTGGCCTTAATAAGTCCCTGCCTTTGCAGCACTCTTGGCTGTATGTCCTAGGCTTGGCATGGCCTTTACCCTGTCACATGCAGTTGACTAATCCTGTTATCAACTAATATGTCCTTATCTTTGTTCTGCTCCATCACTGCCAAGTGGTGAGGCCCCAGTCAGCATAAAAAGTTCTTAGTTCATGACCTGGAAGTTGATTTAATGAGATCTGTCATGATCCTGACTCTCTCTGATCCCTCCTGGTAACCTTCCTGCTCACCAGGGGCTCCTTTTTAATGCAGCCTGTCCCAAAAAAGGAAGAAGGTCTGTGCTCTTTCAATGATCAGAGAAGGACATTCTGTAACTTAAAACTAGGTATGTCTACCTCGTGCTGCTTTTATGCTGGTTGCTATAATCTCCTTTTCCATGGTATCTTGACTGTGCAAGCCTTAATGGTCAGCATACTAGCTTGGACTGAAGACCCAGTTTCTGTATCCAAAGACACTGGTAGGAGTTAAGCATTTGAATATTTTTGTGCCTAGAAATGCAGGTTGGTCCCTATCAGACCAGAAGCACTCACACTTATGTGCTCTGAAGTTGGCAGGCAGGCACTCAGAAAAATTCTGTAGATGCCTGTATGGACCTTTAACATAGCATCGCTTCGAAAAAAAGATATTTTGCCTCAAAGGCTTTTTTTAAATTTAATTAACTTGGTATCTTGATTTCTTACTAAGATCCAGTAGGTTCCCAGTTGTTTTAAATGCTAAAATTAGCAAAGTAAATTTCCAGTTATTTTCAGTAAGGGTACATTTTATTCTCTCATAAGCTTTGTGCGTGTTTTCTGAACTGCTGATGGAGGTTTCCATGCTCTGAATACAGTCAGAGCTCCCCAAATAGCAGCCTGCATTTTGCATTGCTTTTGGTACTGAGGAATTTGAAAAGATGACAAATCCACCTGTTGAGTTTGGCTGTGTTGTGCTGGCTGACACAACCTGCCCTTTCACACAGACTCTGCGAGCCCTTTCGTGGGCCAGGTAAGGTATAGGCAGAGCTGAGCCCTTCCAAAACAAAAGATGTTTCCTTAAATCTCTGAGTGGCTACACAATTCTGGGTGTGATTGTGGTGGATGCTACCTTAAAATATGATGCTGTCGTGCTGCATGATGTCACCTTGACCCAATCATAACCCATTTTCTGTGAGCATGATGTTAACTCCCCAGAGAAGCATCTGCTGAGTGACAGCAGCATCCCATGCAGCCGTTGCTAAGCAACAAGATTCGGCTTTCAGCAGGATCTAATTTTAAAGAATTTAACCCTAGATCTGTCAAGGTTCATTATTTCCGATGTGGTTGTTAATCCCTACTTGTTCGTGGTGTCCAACTTCACAGATACCGCAATCCTCGCAGTGTTGCTGTTTTGTTTATTGTACATAATGTCTCATAAAAAGAGGGGAAGCCCAAGTGCCCCAGGTAGAGCTGAGTACCAAATTTCCTTCTAGCACCGACCCATACACAGAAATATGGGATGCAACTAGAGGTGAAAATCGTTCACTGTTCTGTGAATCTTCCTTTCTTTGCTGGCTTTGTGCAAGTGGCTCATCCCTGCTTTCCTTCTAAGGAATGCTGGATTTCAAGTGAATGGATGCTAGTGGATGGGAAGCTGGCAATAACAATTAAGCTTCAATTTTTAGTAATATTACGTATCCTGTTGTTTCTTGCTGAATTTCATTTAGGTCAAGAAGCTTGCCATATTGTTTATGGCCATTCAACAAAAGCGGATGTAATTTTGAAATTTAAGGGTTTTTTAATACCACAAAACTCTATCTCTTAAATTATTAAAAAGAATATTTACAGATTATTATGAAGTCCTAGAGAGAGAATTTTTGTTCACAGGTTTTTTTGGGGGGAGGGGATTATTTTTTATTTGGTTTGTTGTTTGTTTTTTGTTGTTTTGTTTGTTGTTGTCAGGTTTTTTATAGTTATCTACCTTTCATTTCTTTCTAAAATGTAAAGGCCCGGAAGCCTATTCACATATTTTACAAAAACAAACAAACAAACAAACAAAAACCCAACAAAAACTTCTGACCAACTGTGTCACTCTGTGATTAATTACTACACACATCCCTGTAAGTGCATTCAATGCTACCTTCTTAACGGTATGTGATATCTCACTCAGCTGAAATAACTGCTTTTACTGGTCAGTATCATAGCCACAAAAAAAAAAAAAAAAAAAAAAAAACAAAACAAAACACTGAGAACTGCACAACTCCCCTGCCCCCAAAATGCAGTCTAATAAAAAAAAAAAAAAGTATTCATAGTTTTAAAAACATTAATATAGTTTATTTCAGTCTCATAAAGCCCCCTAAGATTCTTCCTTCTTCCATTATTAGGATTCAAAATGAACGCTGTGTTGCTCCTCATGTTGTTTCTCCTTCCCGGTTCATACTAATCCACTAAGACAAACCTGTCCCCAACAAGGCACTTTTTCCAGTAATCTGTTTATTGGAATACTCCCCTTCTGCCTTTCAATCCTCCTGAGGTATTTCCCCTTCCACTGCTTCCAGTTCCCTTTCCCACCGGGCTGGTGCTGTACAAATAACTGTTTATCACTGTCTCCTTTGTGGTGGTGTGGCTTCTCCCTGTGCTTTGTCAGTGAGGAACCCTGCCCACATCTCCTCCATCCCTCTGCTTTTTCCATGACAGCCTTTGCACATCAAAGACCTGCCTTTAGCCCTTTCCGAAAGCCCAAATTATTTCCAGAGGCACCACAATATTTTTAAAAATTAAAAAAAAAAAAAAATCATGAATGGTAATGGTTCTGATAAAAATGTTTCCTAAACTACTGGCAAATCTTTCAGATCTCTCTCCTTTCTCTGCTCACGTGTCTGGATATGAGAAAATCAAGGCAAACCCACGTCATCTTTGCTTTGGATAACAGCTCCTGTTTTTTGTGGATGTTACTTGCATGGGTGACTTGGGACTTCTTTCCGAGGCTCACAGGTCTGTGTCCACAACTGGTGTATGTGAAAGAGCATCCACTTCTCACTGTACGATCTTCACAATGCTCCTCAATTCAGTCTTCTCT